GTCTATTCATGTCCTTAACCCTTTTTTTAATAGGATTTTTTTTTTTTTTTGCTGATTTGTTTGAGTTCGTTTTAGATTCTGGATATTAGTCCTTTGGCAGATGTATAGATTGTGAAGATTTTCTCCCACTCTGCTGATTCTTTCTTTTGCTGAGCAGAAGCTTTTCAGTTTAAGTCTCATCTATTTATCTTTGTTCCATTTGCTTTTGGGTTCTTGGTCATGAAGTCTTTACCTAAGTCGATGTCCAGAAGGGTTTTTCTAATGGTATCTTCCAGAAGTTGTATGGCTTTAGGTCTTAGATTCAAGTCCTTACTCCATCTTGGGTTGATTTTTTGTATAAGGTGAGAGATGAAGATCCAGTTTCATTCTCCTACTCATGGCTTGCCAATTTTCCCAGCACCATTTGTTGAATATGTTGTCCTTTCTCCACTTTATGTTTTTGTCTGCTTTGTTGAAGATCAGTTAACTGTAAGTATTTGGCTTTATTTCTGGGTTCTCTGTTCTGTTCCATTAACCTGTGTGCCTATTTTTATACCAGTACCATGATGTTTTGGTGACTATGGCCTTATTGTATAGCTTGAAGTTGGGTAAGGTGTTGCCTCCAGATTTGTTGTTTTGGGTAGCCTTGTTTTGGTCATCTGGGTTCCTTTTTTGATTCCATATGAATTTTAGGATTGTTTTTTTCTAGTTCTGTGAAGAATGATGGTGGTATTTTGATGGGAATTGCATTGAATTTGTAGATTGCTTTTGGCAGTATGGTCATTTTCAATATCTTGATTCCACCCATCCATAAGCATGGGATGTGTTTCCATTTGTTTGTGTTGTCTATAATTTCTTTCAGCAGTGTTTTGTAGTTTTCCTTTTAGAGGTCTTTCACTGGCTTGATTAGGTGTATTCCTAAATATTTTACTTCTTTTCCAGCTACTATAAAAGGGGTTAAGTTCTTGATTTGATTCTCAGCTTGGTCATTCTTGGTGTATAGCAGAACTATTGATTTGTGTATGTTAATTTTATATATTGAAACTTTGCTGAATTCATTAATAACTTCTAGGAGCTTTTTGGAGGAGTCTTTATGGTTTTTGAGTCATACAATCATATCATCAGCAAACAGCAACAGTTTGACTTCCTTTTTACTGATTTGGATGCCCTTTATTTCATCCTCTTGTCTGCTTATGGAGCTCTTAATCTATTTACATGTTCCTCTACTCCTTAACTTTTCCTAATGTCTAAAAGTCTGTGTAATTAGGGGAATTAAAAATTTTAATTGGACTTTAAAATTAACTAAATCTTGCCGAGCACAGTGGCTCATGCCTGTAATCCCAACACTTTGGGAGGCTGGGGTGGGAGGATTGTTTGAGCCTAGGAGTTAGAAGCTGTAGTGACCTATGACTGCACCACCACTGCACTCCAGCCTGGGCAACAGAGTGAGCCCCTAAGGGGAAAAAAAAAAAGTTAAAAAACATTAACTAAATCCAAACATCTTTTGATGTGTTAATTCCTGTCATAACATTATGCATAGATGGTAATCTAGGCTCAAATTGGTACTTTCAAGGATGCTGCATTTTCCATTTTCAAGGATAGGGGGCTGGGAAACACTGAGAAAGTTATCCTAATGTCATGATAAAATATCTCTCCTTATAACCATCACACTCTGTCTAGTCTTACTTCTGCCTTTCTTAGGACGTACTATACGTGTTTAATTTCTTATGAAATGCCATCAAGTGTTTGAGAATATGAACTTCTAAATCCACTTTGCCCCCAGATGGAAAATCTACATCTACATTCCTTGAATAGCATTGTTCATATACTTGGCCTATTTTTCTCTGAATCATTCATTTCCCATTGGTTTATAAGAGCTCTTTATATGTTACAGACACTAGCTCTTTGTTATATATGCTGATAAAATTTTCTTCCAAAAGGTCATTTATCTTTTAACTTTGTTTATGGGGGCAGGGAAGGGTTGCCATATGGAAATTACTAATTTTTTTTTTTATGTAACCATATCTGTCGGTTTTGTTCTGTGGCTTCTGGGTTTGGTATCTTGCATAAGGAGATATTAAAGCAGTCATACAGTGTATTCTGCTTCACTTATAGTTTTTGTCTGGTTTTCCACACACTTTTTTACACAAGCTTCTTTTACTCAACAGGTTTTTAAGATCCACTCATGTCATTGCATGTATCAGTAGTAAGTAATACTCCAGTTATATTCCACTGTATGAGTGTACCACAAATTTTTTATTTTCCGTTTTGATTAATCCAGTGTTTGGTGATTACAATTAAGGCCATTGTAAACTCACTTATATAAGTCTTTTTCATGGATATATTATTCATTTTTCTTAGATGTATACAGAGGAGTGGAAATGCTGGCTACCGCAAGGTAGTTAGCTATATACTTAATTTTATAAGAAGTTGCTAAATGGTTTTCTAAAATTCTACCATGTTACACTCCCACCAGGAAAATATGAGAGCATCAATTCTCTGCAACTTCATTTTAATGTTAAAAAGTCTTCTTAATGTTAGCCATTTTAGTGGGTGAGCAGTAATATCTTACTGTGGTTTTATCTTACATTTCCCTGGTATTAATAAGTAGTGATGTGAAATATGTGAAATGCCTCCTCACATGCTTATTTGGATCATCTTTGTAATGTCTGTTGATATGATTTGTCTCTGTGTTCCCACTCAAATCTCATCTTGAATTGTAGCTCCCATAATTCCCACATGTTGTAGGAAGGACCTGGTGGGAGATCATTTGAATCACGGGGGCAGTTTCCCCCATACCGTTCTCGTGGTAGTGAATAAGTCTCAAGAGATCTGATGGTTTTATCAGGGTTTCCACTTTTGCATGTTCCTCATTTTCTTTTGCCTCTGCCGTGTAAGAAGAGCCTTTTGCCTCCCGCCATGATTCTGAGGCCTCCCCAGCCATGTGAAATTATGAGTCCAATTAAACCTCTTTTTCTTCCCAGTCTTGGATATGTCTTTATCAGTAGCATAAAAACAGTCTAATACACTTGTCCAAATTTTTGGCCCATTTTTAAAAATTGAGTTATCTTTTTATTACTTATTTGCTGGAAGTCTTTATATATTCCAGGTACAAGTTCTTTGATACATGTTCTGCAAATATTGTCTCCCAGTCTGTAGTTCACCTTTTCATTTTTCTTAATGAAATGAAATTTGAAAAGTGTCTTTTCAAATGAAGATATTTTAAATGTTTCTGAACTTTAATTTGCCATATTTTCTTTTATGATTAATTCTTTCTGCATCACATCTAAGAACTCTTCGCCTATACAGAGATTATGAAGACAGTCTCCTGTGGTTTCTCGAAGAAACTTTTTAGTTTTAGCTTTTGTATATATGTCTACAATTCATCTTGGATTAACTTTTATGTATGACAAGAGGTCGAGATTAAGGTATATTTTAGACGTAATGTTTTAAGGTCTCTCCCGTTTCCTGCATTGATTCTCTGTAAGTAGAGACTATTTGCTGCAATTGCTGAACTTCGTTTCCTTCTTTCAGATGGTTAAATCCCTTTATGTCAAATTATTTTCCTTTGCTTGCTCATTTTTATGAAAGCTCTATATTCTTTGACACAATAATTGGAAAGGGTCTCCGCAGCCACTGCGTAGGACAGGGCTTGACTTCCTCAGTGGGTTACAGCCTCCCTTCCTCCGTTACCGTAGTGGATGGCTACAAGAGTTAACCGGTGGGCAATTACCCATTTCAGTTCTCTAGTGACACCTAGAAGCAAACTCTGTGGCCTGCACTTTAGACCCTACGGGAGTCCTCCAATTTTTACCACTCCAACTGCACAGCCCTCCTCCTGACATAGTTCTAAAAAGGTAAAACTGGAAATGCTTTTCTGTACCTCCTGCCTGGTCAAGATTTTTTCCTCATCCTACACAACTGAAGATTTTCTTGTCTAGTTCTGCTGTCCCATCCTGATGAACTAGAGATCTAGGGGGTGGTTCGTAGACTCCTCTTTCTGTTTAGGGCAATTATGTAATATCTGATTTTCTTTCACAGTGTTTATAGTGTATGTTGGAGCCCCTCATAATTTTAACATATGTTGTATTCCTATCACTACTTTTCTTACTGCTAGAAAAAAATTGACTGCAGAGCTGAAGGCTTGCCACTGTGATACTGATATGAAAGAGCCTAGTCTGAACTTCTTTGACAGCACAGACGATTCCATTGATTGACCACGAGGTACTTATTTAGTGTCTAGCACTCTGGCTCTTTGCTATGTCTTTTCCCTTTCTCTTTTATGAAAAGTATCAACAATTTAAACACTGGGGATAAATGATGGCTATTCCTGATTCTTCATTCTTTCATTCTCACCCCATATTGTTATGGTTTCTTCCTTGAAGTGAGAAATACCTTAAAATTGATTTTAAGTGATCCACAAAGAAGGGTGATTTTTCTCTAGGCGAAAAATAGGCTGAGTTTCAAAGCAGATTCTGGAAGAAAGTCAAAGGAGACTCTTCTTCCCTTTGCTTTTAGAGACAAAATACAATGGCTAGGATGTACGTAAAACTACTAGTCCAGATGCAATTGTTTGAGTCAATTCACCTGTTCGATCTGTTTGTACCATATCATCAACACGTCCTCTAGCTGATGAACAGTTTCTGAATTGCTGGCTGCAGCAGTGACTTCTTCAAAGGTGTGCAGTTTGGAAAAATCAATATTGTCTATTGTCTTTAACTTCACTGTTCCCTCAATACTTATTCTAGCACCTAAAAAGGAAACAAAATCAAGACATTTAATACTAATTTACATATTAAATATTTTAAATATTAATAATAAATATTAAATATTTAATATTAAGAAGTGTTTAATGTGTTAAATTTCAATGTACTTTTAAGCTCTAATTGCTTAAATATTAAAGATCTAATACTTTACAGAAATATAATTCTAATTAATCATTAGATTATGAGTTAATTATTGATAAAATTATAATTATTGATAAAATTATACATTTTAATAATATGAAAAAATTAAAGTATAGTTTTGTTTTTTTTTTTTTTTTTT